AGTGAAAGAAGAGATCATGTAAGAAGAAAGAAGAGATCATGTAAGAAGAAAGAAGAGATCATGTAAGAAGAAAGAAAAATTCTGGAACAGGAGTGTAGGCTGGACAGAAGGAGTAGCTATCCTGCCAGTCAGACCCTCCAACCATTTTTAATTGACATCACTAAAAGAGACAACATTCTCTGCACCCCAAAAAGTGGAGTATTTTCAAAATGTAACACTAGCAAACGATATAATTGAATCATTAATTAAGAACAAAAAGATATTAGATACAAGAATAATGAGTTGTAAACAAGTGTCATAAATTTAGAAGAGAAAAGTAAGAGGGAAAAAATCCTACGATACATGTACGTTCAAGGACACAGTTGAGCGCTCTCAGTATATACATGTGTGCTGCATCCTGATGAAACTAGGCGCTCGTAAAAAATAATGAAATCAAAGAAATCTATGTTTTTTCATCCATTAATGTCCATTTCAAATCACATTTCTGTGTAGATTATACAGAAAAACTTTGATGATCAAAGGGCACATTAAATTTTAATTTGTCTTTTGTTTTAGTAAGAGTTTTACGGCACTTGCAACACAATAAGGTCATATAAGTGGCGAAGTTTAGAGGTGTTATAAGAGAGTAACAAACACAAAAAAAGAAGGAGGGGAGATTAGGACAATAGATGTTTGATAGGAAACAGCAAACCACACCAGAGCACCCGGCAACCACCCACAAATTTCAATTTGCAGTCTTCAAGGACCCTCAAGCTTTGAACGTTACCAAACCTTGGCATCCACCTTCTCGCTAATTTTACCAGACACCAGGCAAGCCGACCTCCTTCTCATGCAAATATCAACTTCCATTTGAGATTATAAAAGAGTTTTTTTTGTTTTTTTGTTTTTAATCAAAAGCAATATAAATACAAATAAACAAGCTTTCAGGTTATACCAATAACTCTACATGCCCAAACATTGACGTGTCTAGTGACACATTTCATTTGTTCCGGAACAGGCACTTTTTTCCTCTACTATTTTATGACTGATCTCCCATGTCTTACATGAGAATCAACACAATTTACATCATTTTAGAAGCGCGCTGTTTTGACCCCGCCATTCAAGACATGCAGCTGAAAAGAATGTAAACCTCTCTTCCGACTTAAATTTCCATCGAGATGGTTCATCATGAACAAGAAAGCATAATAAAAAAAATCCCCAAACTGCCCTCTGACCATGCATCATGCCCCCCCCCCCTCCCCTCCACAGCCGGAATCAACCAGGAACTTAAGACATATGAGAGGCAAACACCCAAGCCTCAAGGCCCAGAAGTCTACAGGACGGCTCAACAGTACCTTAACTTAACCCTTCCAGCCCCAGCCATTTTTGTGCACTTCATGAACAAGTCACGATATTTTGTCTGCGAACACAACACATACTACTAAATTCCTACCTTAATAGGATCCGCAAGGATACCCCACCCGACTGCCCGCTGTGCGACTGCCAGGATGAAACAGTACCACACCACCTCTTTAACTGCCCAGCACTTTGTGACCTGCGTAGCACCTACCTACCTGCCTCCCCAGACATTGGAAACATTCTATACAGCGACAAAGCACAGCTGATTAAAACCTGTCAATTCTTTGCCATATCGACAGACCGAAGGGCTAGAACCAAAATGGCCGCTGGATCGGAAAAGTAAAGTAAAAGAAAGTGCACTTCATAACCCCAGTCCCAGCCAACGCAGAAGTATTTCAGAAAAAGAGGCCGGCATTCAAAAAAACAAAAACAAAAAAAGTATATAGTGTTTTTGTAATGGGTTTTAGAAATTAACATATAACAACATTTAAACGTAAAGGAACAAACATAAAAATTAAAGTTTAATTAGGTTAGCCAATTTCGAAAACTGGGCAAATTTTGTACCCCCTGAAGCAGAATACACGCTCTTGGGACGGTGGGAGGTACAAGCGCTGCTGAAAATATACGCTCATGGGGCGGGAAGGGTTAACGCCTTACTTGCTCTGGTGTGGTCTGCTCCTTCTTTCTCATCAAACAACTATCATCATCCTCATCTCTCCTTCTTTTATTTGTACATTACGGTCTAGTGACACCTCTAATCTTCAGCACTTATCAGAACTATTTTTTGCAAGAGCTGTAAAACATACTGAAACTTTCAAAACCCTTCTTCAAGAAGTTTAGTTGGGTATTCATCAAAGTACAAAAACCAAAACAACAAACAGGAAATACAGTTACAAAATAATTTGAAGAGTATAAATGTGTTATAAATAGATTGGAAACGACGAGAATGAAAATTAATAGTTTAATAGTTTTAGTAGAGGTTTTACGGCGCTCGCAACTGCGTAAGGTCATATGAGCGCCAGAAGATTAGAGGTGTTACAAGAGAGTAACAAACATTAAAAAGAAGAAGGGGAGATAAGGACGATAGATGTTTGATAGGAAAGAAGAAGCAAACCACACCAGAGCACCCGCCAACCACCCACAGAAACAAAATTAATATATGAACCACTCCACTGCTGACTATAGTTCTACTCATGACTCATGTTTAGTTTTTTTAGTGAGAGTTTAACAGCACTTGTAACACAATAAGGTCATATAAGAGCTGAAGATTAAAGATGTTATATCAGAGAAACATATAAAATATATGAAAAAAAGAAGGACAATGCTTGATAGGAAACAAGGAGCAAACCACACCAGAGCACCCTCCAACCACCCGCATCTCATGCGACTCAATAGAACCCAAGAACGACAAAGGTTAATTCCACAGGATGCACACGGGACATCTACACCTGTTTGATTGTTAGAGTAAAGAGAAGCACATCCGACACAATAACGGTCATTTAGTGCTGGAAAAAGTAAGATAGACAGACAGAAACAACAAAGGGGAAAGTGAAGAAGTAGGACCTACCAGTGGTGGCACCCTCCAACCACCCACGCATGTTACACACAGACAGAAAGAAAAAACAAAGGGGAAAGTGAAGAAGTAGGACCTACCAGTGGTGGCGCCCTCCAACCACCCACGCATGTTACACACAGACAGAAAGAAAAAACAAAGGGGAAAGTGAAGAAGTAGGACCTACCAGTGGTGGCGCCCTCCAACCACCCACGCATGTTACACACAGACAGAAAGAAAAAACAAAGGGGAAAGTGAAGAAGTAGGACCTACCAGTGGTGGCGCCCTCCAACCACCCACGCATGTTACACACAGACAGACAGAAACAACAGGGGGAAAGTACAGAAATTAGACCTACAAGTGGCGCCCTCCAACCACCCGCCCCACCCTCAGCGCCGCGGAGAGGTACGGCAAAGTAACACGGACACAAACGTGAACAGAAAACTCCAAACAAAACAAAACCCAAACAATTGAGACATGCTTAAAAAAACAAACCATAGATCGTCCATATTGTGCTGAGGTCACCTATTCCAAACGCATAAAACGAAAAAAAAGAAAAACCTCAGAGAGATACAACATCTGACCTACATTTGTGAGACAGCGTGGTGGAGTCAGGCTCTCGTCAATTTTTGGGCATGTACAGTTATTGGTATCATCTTACAGCTTGTTCACTTGTCTTTATTTGGATGGGAAAAAAATATACATTTATCTTAAATACAAGTCGAGATATTTGTGAAAGAAGGAGGTGGGGGTCACCTGTTTTCAGAGGTAAAGTTAGTGAGAAAATGGCAGCCAAAGATTTGTTTTCTTAGCTAAAGAGTCCGTGGTAACTGAAAATTTACATTTTTTGTGCCTTAAATCAACGTTTTTCAGAAAAATCCACACAGAAATGAGTTTTTTAATGGGCATGGAATGTGTTGAGCCAAAAACACAAATTTGATAAAAACTCACAAACCTGCTGAAAAATGCAAGTTTCTTCACTTTGATTATTTTGACGAGAGCCCGATTCCACTACGCTGCCTCACATATAGAGACAGGAGGCATAGAAAACAAAACAACGATTCACATCTACCAATGACCGGTTCGAGAATGGTGCTTAATACCTTTCCTGCGAACATCACATCAATGCTGTGCTATACAGTAGAATCTTGGCAAAGGGGGGGGGGCAGTCTTGTCACTGACAAAAATGTCTCTTATTTCCCACCTACACAAGAAATCACAAGCCTCTACCTTTTGTTGTTGTTTCGTAAGAGTTTTACGGTGCTCGCAACTGCATACGGTCATATATATGAGCGCACGAAACACAAGTCTGTTGCGTTCATGACATTTCTTAGCATGGCTTTCTTTCTGGTCAATGAACAGATTAAAATGTTAAAAATTCATGATTAAAAATCTCAATTTCTGAGGCCAAAAGTTCTCAGCCAAATATGTAACATGCTCACCCACCCAGACCAGAACCAAGCATCCATGAGATAAAAACCCTCAAGCAACAGATTTTTTTAAAAAGTCAGTAAACAGTGCCAGCCAGCACTACACGAAAGATAGCATTATGACTGAATCGCAAACATATCACACCCCCATACACACGATTCAGTCCATATATAGGAGGCGGCTACGCCACGCTGCTCAGGGCAGGAAAGGTGCTAAACAACCACCAAAGCAGAAAAACAACAGCAGAAAAAGCTGAGAGACTCAGAAGCAGAATCCACTGTCTAGTATAAAAAGAAAAAGCCTGGATGGGTTAATAATGGCTCTACTACAAGCAAGCTCTAGGTGCTGTCGAGTCAAGCGTGTACCTTGGCGTTATTTCTCGCTAGCTCCTGCCCGTCTTGCCGAGGGCTGGCAAAGGCTTCGGGACCAAGTTCTGGGCCACTGCTGACCACAGCATCCTAGAGTGGGCCGTGGGCCGTGGGAGGCGTGGTCACACAAGACAGTGAAATCAGAGCGGGCACCCCGGACACAAGCACAACATTACACCACACTAACCTTTTAGTTTTTGTAAGAAGAGTTTTACGGCACTTGCAATTCAGTAAGGTCATATAAGTGAGCGTCAAAGATTAGAGGTGTTACAAGATAGTAACAAACACAAAAAAAGAAGGAGGGGATATAAGGTTGATAGATATTCAATAGGAAAGAAGGAGCCAACCACACCAGAGCACCCACCAACCACCTACAACCACCTACGGAGGCGACTAACCATCTCTGCTAATGCAACCATACTTTGAAGAAGAAAAAAAAACCCACACTTACATCGATTTCAGCATGAAATTTTTTAAAATCTAGTTTAATTTAAACATCATAAGTCCTACCCCATTTTCTGACAAAACATTTCGTTCACACTCACAATTGTGAGGCAGCGTGGTGGAATCAGGCTCTCGTCAATTTTTTAGTTCTTTAGTGGGCATTAAAGGTGTTGAGCGAAAAAACAAAAATTTGATAAAAATGCGCAAACCTGCGGAAAAATGCAAGTTTTTTCACTTTGATTATTTGACGAAACCCTGATTCCACCACGCTGCCTCACAATTGTCTTCGAATAAACTGATCCCCATTTACACTATTTTTTCTTTCAATGTCTTCCTTGATCAAAGAACAAGTGTCTTCACTGACAATAAAATCGAAATAAAATATCTGCAAGCTAAATCAAACTACACATTCCTCTAAAGCTAAGCACCATACAGGAAAATTCTCAAAAGCACAATCAAAATAACACCCAGATAACTACAGTACACACAAATCCTACTTTTGAAGAGGAAAATTGACTTTTCAGCTCATCATATTTACGTCAAGCCCTCATATATGATCCTATGCAGTTGTGAGCGCCGTAAAACTCTTACCCCTAATTTTTTATTTTAAAAAAAATGGTATTTATTTTAATGATAGCAATGATAAAACTTCACTTTAAAAAAATCAAATCTAAATGACAGCTGAATCTGTCCTTTATTCCAACATAACCATGTTTTCGAGCCTGCTGTGTTTATCAAAGCGCTTTAGCGTAGGTAGTAACGTAGCACACTACAGTCAACACTGAAAACACTGAACAAGCGGGGGGGGGTGTGTGTGTGGGGGAGACAACAGCTTCTCACACTCCCGCGAACATCCTAAATATGTGTCACGGCACAGCGGAACCAGGCGTTCGTCAATTCTTGAGCATATGGAATTATAGGTATAATCTTAAAGCTTGTTTATATATGTCTATTGACCGATGAAAAAAAATGATCTATTGATCTTGATAGAAGTGAATATACTATGTGATTGAAGAAGGTGGGGGTCACCTGGTTTCGCGAGAAAATGGTAGCCAAAGTTTGGTGATTTCTACAGCTTGAGGGTACTTGGAAACTGAAAATTTACATTATTTGTGCCGCTAATCAACATTTTCAGTAAAATCCACAAAGAAATGTGTTTATAAACGGACATTAAAGATAATAATATAAAGCCAAAAAGCAAAAATTTGATAAAAATTACAAAACCGGCAGAAAAATGCCCGTATCTTCGATTTCATTTTGACGAGCACCTGACTTCACTGTGAAGTCTCACGTACGCTCCCAACATCGGCAATAACTACAAACCTCCATCTCAACTACGTCAAGATCTCTTGTGTAAGTTCAGTTTGAATGAAGCTGTGGTTTATTCTCTGCCCAACTGTGAAAGACACCTTGCAGGAAACAGTACAGTGGCCTCGTTGTTACAACAAATCCTTAGAAAATTTTCGAGAAGCGGGAGAAGCAGAGAGGCCACTTCCTGATACTGACCAGAAAGAAGAGCAAGGCTTCAACACGCTGTTCTAAGGTCCCAACCCCAGAAAGCAATATCGTTCAGGAGACAAAAACAAAACTGTTTTATTCAATAACCAGTTATTTATTCAATAACCAGTTATTTATTCAATAATTATTTATTCAATAACCAGTTATTTATTCAATAACCAGTTATTTATTCAATAACCAGACAGTTACAACTCTACCTACTTTAAGTACCTTTTCTTGTTTTTCTATTTTTTCAACATTTAGAATTGGAATTTTGACCAAATATTTCTCGAGCTAATGAACCCAATACCACAGACTAAGAAGTTGGAAAACAATCTTTTTTTCAAAAAAAAATAATTAAAAAATAAACTTTGGCACTTTGTACATTAGAACAGCTGACTAACCATATTATCTCCACAACAAAAAATGAGAGTGAGAGAGAGAGAGAGAGAGAGAGAGAGAGAGACAGAAGGAGAGAGAGAGCAACATAACACATACACTGGAGTAGCACATCGATCATCTAATACACATGTGTCTGGTACCAAGAAACAATGCATAGTGGGCGAGAGAGTATTCATTGGTGAAGGCAAATGTGTGGTGCGCTGACAAAATGAGTTAATTCACAGATTTTAGCCCTGCGGACACGGATACATACATCAAATGTATAGCTTAGGACTGCACGATTTACTATGTGAAACGATAAGACATGCTAAACTTGAAGAAAACGGCATCAGTTGAAAACCTATAAATTTGAGGGGTCAATTTTTAATTTTAGGACGGCATCTCTATTCGTGGATTGCGAGAAGTGACTCACTTTGTCAGCGCGTCTCATAAACAGACAAGCCAACAGACGTGCTTGAGCCAGATAGGACAGACGACGACGATGCACAAGGTACGTGGGCACTGCTGGCACAATGTGAACAGGAAGCTAGTGGCTAGATATTTACACACCACGTTACTTTAGTTTAGTTTTAGTAAGAGTTTTACGGCACTCGCAACTGCATAAGGTCATATGAGCGCCAGAAGATTACAGGTGTTACAGGAGAGTAACAAACATAAAAAAAGAAGAAGGGGAGATAAGGACGATAGATGTTTGATAGGAAAGAAGGAGCAAACCACACCAGAGCACCCGCCAACCACCCACACACGTTACTTTTTTATTACAAAAACCCTACATAGCTAGCACCTGGAGTGTAGTTTAGCTTAGTTACAGGAAACAAGCAACTAGATATGTGAGGCAGCGTGGTGGTATCAGGCTCTCGTCAATATTTGGGCATGTAGAGTTATTGGTATCATCTTAAAGTTTATTCACTTGTCTTTATTTGGTTGAAAAAAATATCCATTTATCTTTAATACAAGTCGAGATATTTGTGAATGAAGGAGGTGGGGGTCACCTGTTTTCAGAGGTAAAATTAGTGAGAAAATGGCCGCCAAAGATTAGTTATTTCCTTAGCTTAAGAGTCCGTATTAACAGAAAATTTACATTTTTTGTGCCTTTAATCAACGTTTTTTAGAAAAATCCACACAGAAATGAGTTCTTTAATGGACATGAAAGGTGTTGAGCCAAGAAACACAATTTTGATACAAATTCACAAACCTGTGGAAAAATGCAAGTTTCTTCACTTTGATTATTTTGACGAGAGCCTGATTCCACAACGCTGCCTCATATATTCATACAACAAGTTACTTATTATTACAAAACCCCCACGTGCTCATCATAACTCTATACAATAATTGTAGCCTAGCTTAGTTCGTTTGCTTGGGTTCAATAGGTGTTTTATGGCACCATCGACTCAGTTTTGGTCATGTGGTAACGTAGAGAAGCTATACAGGCCGACAGATGAACTGAGCAGGACGGCCCAATTTATGACAGATACCAGACTTCAAGTGTGATGAGATCGAGAAGAAGAAGAAGAGATGTGGGGACGTAGCTTAGTTTGAGAAAAGAGAAGTATGCATTGACACAAAGATTTAGTACTGGGGGAAAAAGAACATAATAGACAGCCAGAAACGACAGTGGGCGAGAAAGAAAAGAAGCAGTACCTACCAGTGGCGCCCTCTATCTACCTCTGTTTACCTCACGAAAAGCCTGAGTGTGAAGCACAGATACCCCAGGAACACACACTATGTTAATTCTCTTTCTAGGGTATAGCCCACAGTTTTAGGGGTTTAAGTACCGCGTCAAATATCAATTTACCGTGGTCCACACCCTCAGAGACAGGGGGAGGGGGGGAGAGGAGGGGGAGGGGAGGGGGGGAGGAGAGAAAGAGAGAGAGAGAGAGATATGAAATATGGAGATATGAAAAAGAGAGAGAGTGAGCCAGAAAGAGCAGTGAGTATATGTGTGTGCGTGTGCGCACGTGTGCATGCTTGCAACACTAAAAAAAATCCCACAAAGTGCACCTAACCCATCCCGTAAAACCGTTCAGCTACACCGGCAACAAGCAACGTACCGAGGCAGGGTAGGCGTCCCCGGAGGCGATGTACTGTTTGTTGCTGTCGTACAACATCCAGATCTGGCTCTCGTACTCCGACTCGTACAGGTAGTTGCTGAGCAAGGCACAGTCCGGCGTTACGTCTGCTCCCTTGTGCTGCAGAAAAACAACCGACAGGCGGAAAGAAATTAGGTCACTCATACTACACTGCTCAACCAACTGGAAAAAGAAAACGAGGAAGACCAACTGGAAGCTATATATATATAAAGGCACAATTAGAGATGAGGCAATCACCCACGGCCTGGATGTGCCGAAATTGGAGAAGGTGGCCAGGGACAGACAAGTGTGGCGTCGACTGCTCTCTGCCTTATGTACTTGGCGGTATAGGGAGAGAGTAAGTAAGTGAGTGAGTAAGTAAGTGAGTGAGTAAGTGAGTAAGTAAGTGAGTGAGTAAGTAAGTGAGTAAGTAAGTAAGTAAGTAAGTAAGTGAGTAAGTAAGTAAGCGAGTAAGAAACTAAGTACGTGAGTAAGTGAGGACGTAAGTAGTTAAGTAAGTGAGTGAGTAAGTAAGTGAGTGAGTAAGTGAGTGAGTAAGTAAGTGAGTAAGTAAGTAAGTAAGTGAGTAAGAAAGTAAGTACGTGAGTAAGTGAGGAAGTAAGTAAGTAAGTAAGTAAGTAAGTAAGTGAGTAAGTAAGTAAGTAAGTGAGTAAGAAAGTAAGTACGTGAGTAAGTGAGGAAGTAAGTAAGTAAGTAAGTAAGTAAGTAAGTAAGTAAGTGAGTAAGTAAGTAAGTAAGTAAGTAAGTAAGTAAGTAAGTAAGTAAGTAAGTAAGTGAGTAAGAAAGTAAGTAAGTGAGTAAGAAAGTAAGTAAGAAAGTAAGTGAGTAAGTAAGTGAGTAAGTGAGTAAGAAAGTAAGTACGTGAGTGAGTAAGTAAGTAAGTAAGTAGGTGAGTAAGAAAGTGAGTAAGTGAGTGAGTAACTAAGTAAGTAAGGAAGGAAGGAAGGAAGGAAGGAAGGAAAGAAGGAAGGAGGGAGGGAGGAAGGAAGGAAGGAAGGAAGGAAGGAAGGAAGGAAGGAAGGAAGGAAGGAAGGAAGGAAGGAAGGAAGGAAGGAAGTGTAGTAAAGTAAAGTAAAATAAAGTAAGGTAAGGCAAGGCAAGGTAAGGTAAGGAAGGCAGGTAGGAAAGTAAGAAAATACAGTAAACAAGTACGTATACTACGCCGATTATATTGAAGAACAAAGCGCAAAAAGTACAAAAGAGCCAAGAGGCCATTTTGAGCGGAAAAAAAAAAGGTTTTGAATATGCGAAGCGAGCTGACAAAATGGGTGACTTCTCCCAGTCTATGTATGGAGGTATTGGTCAAAAATTGACATGGGGGTGATGTCAAAATACATGTAATCCAATTGATAGATTTTTAACTGATGCTATTTCTCTTTCAAGTTTAACATATTTTTCTTCATTTCTTCCTAATAAATTGTATGAACTCGACATACAAATTTGATGTAACTACATCCACCTTAGAGCTAAAATCCAAGAAGCAACTCATTTTATCAGCATGCATCACGAATCTTGAACCGTCTTTCTCTTCGAAATATTAATGTTGTCTCTATCTCCTTGTCGTATAACGGTAGTGAACGGTTGAATTTATCAGTGAAATGTTAATTTTAAATATTTTTTTTTGGTAAGTGTTTTACAACGTCCACAACTGCATATGGTCATATGAGTGTGACATGTGAACATCTTTCATCTTTTGAAACAGATTAATCTTTATGATTGTTTTGTGAAATGGCTTTAGATACTTTTTGGCCTAAATCTCTTTGATAAACACTTTCTGCAGTAGACTCTTCACCAATCATAGAGAAAAACCCAAGAAAAAGACTTTAAAAATATGAAATTTTAAACAACTACAAAATTAGAGAGAGATAGAAATCATCTCACAATGGATATTACACATTTATCTCAAACTGACAGTTGTCTGTCATTTTTGCAATAAAATAATACATAGTGCAATCTTCAAAAATGCATTTTTAAATAATTTTTTTTGGTTTGAGATCTTCAAAACCCAGCAAGAAAGAGTCACATGTGAGTCATTTTCATAATTTTGATACACAGGTTGTGAAATTGATACTTGTACAAATGTGAGGTAGTTTTCAATAAGTTTATGAACCAAAATAGTACAGTCACCAGACCACAGAGTCCAACTTTGTCCACTAAACTTCCCTCACAGGGAGGGACACATTATTTAAAAACTGTTATGTCAGAAGGCTTGCAAGAGGGAAATTGTAGGTCAAGCTCAATTTAAAAATAAAAAAAGACAAACAAACTTACACAATGGAAATTGTAGGTCAGCTCCATTTGTAACAAAACCCACTCACAAGATGGAAATTGTAAGCCAGCTCAATTTTCGTTAAAAACCACTCACATGACGTAAATTGTAGGTCAGCTCAATTTTTAAAAAACAAAAAACACTTACAAGATTGAAATTGTAGGTCAGCTCATTAAAAAACAAATACTTACACGATGGAAATTGTTTGTCACCTCAATTTTAAAAAAAAATAATTTTAAACTTACGTGATGAAATTTTGTAGTTCAGCTCAATTTTTTTAAAAAATAAACAAACTTACTCAATGGAAATTGTAGGTCAGCTCAATTTTGAAAAACAACAAAACCACTTACAAGACTGAAATTGTAGGTCAACTCATTAAAAAACAAACATTTAACGGGGGAAATTGTTGGTCACCTCAATTTTTTTTTTAAACAAAAAAACTTACGTGATGAAATTTTGTAGGTCAGCTCAATTTTTAAAAAACCAAAAACTTACTCAATGGAAACTGTAGGTCAGCTCAATTTAAAAAAACAAAACCACTTACAAGATGGAAATTGTAGGTGAGCTCAATAGCGTGGATCTGGCGTCCGTCTTTCAGCTGATCCCGTTCTTTGGACATGGCCTTGATCTTGTAGTCTGAGGGTCTAGAACAAGGGAGAAAAGTTGACGCACAGTTGAGGCAGGTGATGTCGGTCAAACCGTCAATGTGCTACTATAATGACCTCGGCCATTTATCTTACATTTTGAGTCAAGAAGTGCCTTGTTCGCACATAACAAGGCTCACAGCGTAGGCAGGGTTGTTTGTTTCGGTAAGTGTTTTACTGCGGTCGCAACTGCATAAGGTAATATGAGCACACGAGACACACAGGACATTTTCAGTTTGGTAGGAATTTTGATATGCCCGGGGCGGCGGCCAAAGCCTACTCTTATAGATTTTAGGACCATTAAGGGATCTTCAACGTGCGGAACTTGTAGACGGGACACCCAAGATTTTTCGTCTTTATCCGAGAAGGCTAGGTGTTAGATCTTAACTCTCATAAGGTCAGGGATGTGGCTGAAAGACAGAAGTAAGAAGGAGCCAAGAAATAACAGTGGGAAAAGCTGCAGAAAGAGTCAGGAGCCCAGGGGGGGGAGGGGGGCAGAAGAAAGTGGAGACGAAAGCACACAACAGGACATGGCAGTTTTGTAAGAGTTTTACGGCACTTGCAACACAATAAAGTCATATAAGAGCTGAAGATTGGAGGTGTTACAAGAGAGTAACAAACACAAAATAGAAGGAGGGGAGATAAGGACGGACAGACGTTTGATAGGAAAGAAGGAGCAAACCACACCAGAGCTCCCGCCAACCACCCACGGACATGGTTAGAAAGCAAGAAAAGAAATGAAAGGAGAAAATTTTCCGTAGCTGTCAGGTTCCGAACCCGGGACCTATTGAATGAGAGGCGAACACTGTAACTTCCAGACCACGAGAGTCCGCCATAGGCAGGATTAGCATGTGCAAAAAATTTGGGGGGATTTTTTTTTTTGACTGCTCAGCGTAAAAGTCCATCATGCGTCACTTTTCGAAATAGCGCATAGCCGAGTCTTCCACTAAGTAGTGCGTTTTGCGTTGGCCTCTTTCCTTGACACTTCTAGGACGTACCTGAGTGGGAAAATGGCCGTCTTGAGCGTCAGTGACGGGGCCAGGTCTTCTGTCTTGATGGGAGAGATGACGTCAAACCTGGCAATGCCTTCTCCTCCATGCTGGGGATGATAGGGGAATAGAATAAGACTGGTTGTTTGTAGCTTTTTTTTTTTTTTTTTTAGTTTAGTTTTTGTAAGAGTTTTACGACACTTGCAACACAATTAGGTCATATAAGTGCCGAAGATTAGAGGGGAGTAACAAACACAAATAGGAAGGAGGGGAGATAAAGACGATAGATGTTTGATAGTAAAGACGGAGCAAACCACGCCAGAGCACCTGCCAACCACCCACGACTGTTTGTTTGTTGGTTTGTTTGATTGTTTGTTTGTTTGTTTGTTTGTTTGATTGTTTGTTTGATTGTTTGTTTGTTTGAGTAAAGAGAAGCACGTCATCACAATAATGGTCATTTAGTGCTGGGGAAAAGTAAGACAGACAGACAGACAGAATTAACAAAGGGAAAGTAAAGAAGTAGGACCTACCAGTGGCGCCCTCCAACCACCCACACAGACAGAATTAACAAAGGGAAAGTAAAGAAGTAGGACCTACCAGTGGCACCCTCCAACCACCCAAACAGACGGACAGAAACACCAGAGGGACAGTAAAGAAATAGGACCTACCAGCCTACCAGTGGCGCCCTCCAACCACCCACCCACACAGACAGACAGACAGAAACAACAGAGGGAAAGAAAAGAAGTAGGACCTACCAGTGGCACCCTCTAAGGAACAAGACTGACAAGTATCATGAGTGTTTTGACATGGCAATCAATAACAATAATCTAACCTCTAGGCCACTAGAGCCCCCTAACGAGAAGTGTAAATTGCCAAAATAGTAAAACAATCTAATCCATGTGCAGACAACTACAGTTTAAAATATCCTTCGCCGCATCCAAATGGTCACATCAATGATTAAAATAAAACGTTTTCTTTTCTAACTTAAAATGCAACATTCTTTTGAAAATGTAAGCAAATTTTTATACCAGGCGAGCATACAGTACTTGTTAACCATCATCATCGTAGAACAAATACAAACTGACTGCTCAGTGTCAGATTCTATCTTATCATACGTCACTTTTCAACATGGCGTATGGCAGGGATCTTAACATTTAAGGGGAGGGGCCGGTTTTAAACTTGATGATTTTGGGTCAATTTATTTTGGTATCTGGACTTTTGACGTATTATAATACTTCAACCACTTGTAAATCTAAAAACTGCATACTCTTTTTGTTACAATCAACATCTTTCAGATTTTCTGTCCTAGAACTTTTATTTTGCCTATTATGTAACAAATTGTCGGGTTTTTTTTTCAAACCTTCAATCTTTGATAGTTTTTCTCATCTACCTTTGTATTTTCTATTTGATCTCAATGACATTTTCAGAGCTTGTTATTCACACCATAACTTAACTTACTACAGGTGGAAAAGCAAATAGATGCATTCATAAGTGAGTTACATGGATGAGAATGAAATCAAATTCAGAGGCATGAAGGGGTAGGTCAGTTATCCATCTCGAACTTTTTTCCTATTCAAGATATCCAAGACCCTAACTGTATGAAATTTTGTATTGAGTATATCTATCAATGTACCAGGGTACATAAAAAAATCCTTTTTACTTTTATGAAAGTTGTTTAATTTCAATATGGCCGCCATTACCATAGTAACTGTTGACTTAACAAACAAAAAAAGAAGTTACATTTTAGAGATGTTTTCCTGTTATATCCTCTTGCTATAAGGCTTTACCTGAAAGGTCATAGTTACGGAGATAGGTTTATAACAAACCCCCCCCCCTTAACAGTCGAAAGCAGAAACCATGTATCTCACCACTGTTGGGGAATCTGTGGTGAGCTGCGCCCCGTAGAAGGTGACGGTGTAGTCCAGGAGCACGTCTCCCAGGCTGGCCCACCACTTGGCTATACACACCTCCAGCGTGATGTCTCCCTGGGGGAACACAATACGTCCACGGGTTACAGAGAGAATACATTGCAACTTGTCGTCGACTCAGAACTATTTTGTCCAAAGCGTACTTAAGTAAAGAGGCGGCACGTTGGACAAAATAGTTCTGAAGCGAGGTTGTGTGTGTACGTTCACATGTGCATGCATTTACCACATCGCAGCAAATTTCTCTTTGAGGAGACCAATAAAATGTTATCGTTTCTTATCTTATGCCTCTTAAATAACCTAATAGTCTTGATAGGGAAATAAAATCTATACCATTTCACCATTTGAAAAAATCTTATCTTATAATGTAAAATGTCCCGGTCTGACAGAATCATATCCAGGGAGGCACATCAGTCATTCAAATAAACAAATGGCAATAGCAAAAATAACAACAAAAAAACAACAACATTCAATCAGGACAGGAAAATGGCACTGCTAATCTATTATCTATTTGTGGTGGCCGAATGTTGCTATTCAAAAGGCTTTTTATTGGCTGCAACGATCGACATGCGGTTTTCGCTAAAAGATTCCTTAAAATATTCTCCAGATCATGGCGCCCTTGGTTTTTTTCAGTTTTGAGACAGTTTTGCTGCAAAAAGCTAAATTTCTTTACTTCGCCGATCGCTTTTGTAGGCCAACGCTTCTGTCTTTGTAATTTTAGAAAATCCGTAAGTGATATTTCGCGAGGCGCATTTTGTTTTGAGAGTATAGATCTAGACCTTCTAATTTTTTGCATCTTTCAAGACTTATTGCCCCATTCCAGTGGAGTGTAAATATAGTAGGCCAATGACTTTTAGTTGATGTTAATGCACCGATCATTCCTTTCATCGAAAGGGGGCCCAGCTTGTTTATACTAAATGCAAGTACTAATAAATACAAAAACGCTAGAGGTAATAATTTATTAATTAACCCAAAAACTTTTTTCAGCTTGCCAGGACAGGAAAACGGCCCTGCTCATCTATACCAAAGGCAATTACTACTAAATGCAAAAGCACCAACAGTCATAACTTATTAACTAATCCACAACATTTTTTTTTTTTTACTGACGATGACAGGAAATGCGTAGGTTCCCTCTCCGCGGTCGCTGATGGTGACAAACTTGGAGAACTCGTGGAACTTGTAGGCGCGTTGCGGGGACATCTGTAGCGTGTGCACCAGGAAGCGCCCGCTTTTCTCCGTGTCTTGTGACGTCAGCTTCAGCACTGGGGGAATTGAAGAACGGCGCGCATTAGCATACCACAGTTCAGAATGTGGGCGGTTGGCGGGTGCTCTAGTGTGACTCGACACAATGCTCTTTTCCTATCATTAAAGAGCATAAAGCTTGCCCATGAGCGTGAATTTGCGCTGTGCAAATGTTATCTATTATTATTACTTTTATCATCTATCATCTTTATCACTCTTTTTTTTTTCTTTGACTCTCTTGTAACACCTCTAATCTTTGGCACTTATATAACCTAACTGACTTTGTAGCAAGTGCCAATAGACAGTTCAGGATGATATCAATTATAAGTGAAAAGATAACTTAATCACACTGTATCCACTGATCCGTGAAAATATCTCTAAGATTTTATTTCCACACAGCGCCTTCCAAAAACACGAATCCTTCACCATCAAAAGCCAGTCCTTTAAGTCTGCATAAAACCTAAGCACATCGACACATGAACTGTTGCTTTGTATTCAGATACAGCAAAACGGAGGGACAGAAAATATGTGAGGCAGCGTGGTGGAATCAGGCTCTCGTCAATTTTTGGGCATGTAGAGTTATTGGTATCATCTTAAAACTTGTTCACTTGTCTTTATTTGGTTGAAAAAATATCCATTTATCTTTTATATATGTAGAGATATTTGTGAATGAAGGAGGTGGGTGTCACCTGTTTTCAGAGGTAAAATTTGTGAGAAAATGGCCCCAAAGATTTGTTATTTCCTTAGCTTAAGAGTCCGTGGTAACTGAAATTTTACATTTATTGTACCTTTAATCAACGTTTATCAGAAAAATCCATACAGAAATGAGTTCTTTAATGGGCATGAAAGGTGTTGAGAGAAAAAACTAAATTTTAATAAAAATTCACAAATCTGCGGAAAAATGCAAGTTTCATCACTTTGATTATTTGGACGAGAGCCTGATTCCACCACGCTGCCTCACTAATGTAAAAACCTACCAACGGCACCCTCTAGCCTTTTTTTAACCTCCTGTACCTCCAGTCTGACAGATTACGAACAGTAAAGTCACTCATCTTCCCAGCAATACTCACCAGCGTAAGAAGCGCCGTAGGGCACGTGAATGAACCGCCTGCTTATAAAGCCCGGCTTGAAGTTCACACCCACAGTGGATACACTGACGTTGTGGAGATCCTGCACTCTGGGGAAGACGGGAAGGGGGGGGGGGGTGTAAACAATTGGCAACGTGTCACGACCAGGTGGAATCAGGCCGCTCATCAATTTTTGGACGTACCGGGTTATTGGCATCATCTTAAAGGTTGTTCTGCAACAGTTGGTTTTCTAGGTAGCAACATTCACTTTTTCTGCTCTCCTGTAAAATTGTTTTAAAAAACTTAAGTATACTGTACTTTTTTTAAACGACGGCAGAGAACAAGTCACGATCTTTCGCCTACGAACACAACACATACTACTAAATTCCTACCGTAATAGGATCCGCAAGGATACCCCACCCAACTGCCCGCTGTGCGACTGCCAGGATGAAACAGTACCACACCACCTCTTTAACTGCCCAGCACTTTGTGACCTGCATAGCACCTACCTACCTGCCTCCCCAGACATCGGAAACACTCTATACAGCAACAAAGCACAGCTGATTAAAACCTGCAAATTCTTTGCCATATCGACAGACCGAAGGGCTAGAACCCAAATGGCCGCTGGATCGGAAAAGTAAAGTAAAAGTAAAGTAAAACGCCGGCAGACATGACATTCTCAAGTCTGGTAAAACACCACATTTCCGCTGCCTCTGCTTTACTCCCACTATGGTCAGTAACTACCCAGAGGGATGAAACCTCTCTGAAAATGATTCAAGTTTAACGCCCGTATCAACACTGTTAGGTTATTTAAGAGGCATGACATCCGAGTCTAACACCCATCTCCGAAAGGACCGAGCCAAAGGGAAATTTGTGTTAAGTACCTTTCCCAAGGACACGTTGGACCGAGCTAAGGCTCAAACCCCTGAAACCCGCTATCTCATGATTACAGGTCTGGTAGCTGAAACCTCTCTAAACAAAAGCACTATGACTCTACTCACTTGGTAGGTACCACCACTGTGACCGGTACTCTGAAGATAGCACCGCGCTGAACATTGCTGGCCTCAAACGCTTGGATCTGACAAGGGAAAAAAAAACCCAACAAAATAATCAAAACAGTACTCCCATTTTTTTTTTTTAGTCAAAGTGAAACAACTTGCAAAACACTGAATAAGTCATCACAAATGAAGACAAAACACTGAATAAGTCATCACAAATGAAGACAAAACACTGAATAAGTCA